GTATATATGTATATATATGTATATATTTATGTGTATATATGTATGTGTATATATGTATATGTATGTATGTATATGTATGTATGTATATGTATATATATATGTATATATGTATATGTATGTATGTATGTATATGTGTGTATGTATATATGTGTATGTATATATGTGTATGTATATATATATGTATATATATATATGTGTATGTATATGTGTATGTATATGTATATGTATATATATATGTGTATATATATGTATATGTACCGTAGTGCGTTAATTAGGTGTGATTAATTATGGAAAAAAAATAACGTTAAAATTATTAACATATACAGTATCTCACAGAAGTGAGTACACCCCTCACATTTTTGTAAATATTTTATTATATCTTTTCGTGTGACAACACTGAAGAAATGACACTTTGCCACAATGTAAAGTAGTGAGTGTACAGCTTGTATAACAGTGTAAATTTGCTGTCCCCTCAAAATAACTCAACACAGCCATTAATGTCTAAACCGCTGGCCACAAAAGTGAGTACACCCCTAAGTGAAAAAGCCGAGGTCTCTATACGTTACTGCCACGTTACATTGCTGACAGAATGTAGTGTTTTATAAATTAGAGATTGTAAAAAGGATGTAGCACACGCACTGTCGAGTCAAGTGCCAGTTGATTAGAGACCTGCTCCCGTGAGACCCGACGCAACAGTGCGTGGCGCGGGACATGATGGGCGAGTGCTGGTAGAGACTTGTGTGTGTGCGGGAGAATAAAGTGATTCACGGGACTCCCGCAAAATAGAAATATCTAAACATAAAATATCTAAAACAAATAAATTGTTATTCATCTATTGCACAAAAGCAACATGAACTAATATAAATGATTAACAGGTGCATGCGTATGCAGAGTTTCTATTTAGGCTATAACACGCGTTTGCAGCATTGAGCAATGCAGTGCTGCAGTGCTGATGCTCACAAATCCTCTCATTACACACGAATTGTAGACATTATGAAATTCATTATGCATATATTTATTGTGTTATTGTGTATTTGTGGGATTGCGATGAACTGAGATGTCTTTTAGAGATTATAAATGCAGCGCTCTTTGCTGGTATTCTGCCATGCACGCAGCAGCCGCTTGCTTTAGTTAAAAATAACAGTGTTCTGTGAATGTTGATGCTTTAATAACAAATATTTATCGGGAGCGTGTATGCTGGGATTTCATAAATTTCATGGAGAAAAAGTAACATAACTAGTAATGTAACTAATTACTCATGTAACTAATATCAGTAATTTGATTACATTTTCAGAGTAACTTGCCCAACACTGCACACACATCCATTCACATATATATACATGAATTTTACATATGTATATAATGTGAATATACATTTTGTATAGTGAGCACAGCACAGGTGACTTCCATTATCTAGTCTGCTCAGTGTTTAGGATGTCTGACTCTGACACCCTGTTGTCATGGGAACACATCTGCAGTTGTGTTGCATGTGTCAGCACTGTCAGTTTCTGCATGTCAGATTTCAACCCTTCTAAGATGCAGATCAGCTGCAAAAAATGTTTATTTATTTATTTTTTGAACCAGCCCCTGAAACCATTATGTGCATTTTTTTTCTGTATAGAGCTGTAGGTACTGTTACTTGGCAGTTAGCACTAACAATGTGGTGGTCTTTGCTTCTCATTTTCTGTTGTTTTTAAAGTCTGAATGGTAACAAATAACTTTAATCAAAAGTGATGAATGATCACATACTTTGACACCTTTTTATATTATCATTAATTCTTAGAAATGTTTGTCCCCCCAAAGACAGGCCATTCAATTGTTTGGCAAACTTTCATTGTCTGTGCCACAGCTCTTAATGCATTTAGTTTAATTTGTATAAGGGCACAAATAGATCCAAAGCAAAGCTTGCTACTCGCAGTAAATAACAGTCAGAGTGGCTGAGTCTAAAGACTGATATCAGCTAGACTTCAGACACATTTTGTAACCACCTAGCTTTTTTTGCAGTTCTTTTACAGACTGCGCTTTTGAAACCAGGACTGTTCGTATTGAAAAGAGAAAAAAAATACCAGCAAACTAACACACGCCATACAGTGATACTTTAGTGAGTTGTATAATTATTCCTCTATTTGTATATTAAATTTCATTGTTTTTTAAAACAAATATATGTAATACAGTGCCGCTTGAAAGTTTGTGAACCCTTTAGAATTTTCAATATTTCTGCATAAATATGACCCAAAACATAATCAGACTTTCGCACAAGTCCTGAAAGTAGACAAAGAGAACCTAATCAAACAAGTGAGACAAAAATATGTTCTTTGTCATTTATTTATTCAGGAAAATTATACATTATTACATATCTGTGAGTGGCAAAAGTACGTGAATCTCTAGGATTGGCAGTTAATTTGAAGGTGAAATTAGAGCCCATCTGTTTTTCAGAGTTGTTTTCAATCAGTGAAATTACTATCAGGTGTCAGTGTGTGCCCCGTTTTATGTAAAGAACAGGGATCTATCAAAGTCTGATCATGTTTGTGGAAGTGTGTCATGGCATGAACAAAGGAGATCTCTGAGGACCTCAGAAAAAGAGTTGCTGTTGCTCATCAGGCTAGAAAAGGTTACAAAAACATCTCTAAAGAGTTTTGACTCCACAAATCCACAGTCAGACAGATTGTGTTCAAATGGAGGACATTCAAGACCACTGTTACCCTCCCCAGGAGTGATTGACCAACAAAGATCACTCCAAAAGCAAGACGTGTAATAGTCTGCAAGGTTGCAAAGGAACCCAGGGTAACTTCTAAGCAACTAAAGGCCTTTCTCACATTGGCTAATGTTAATGTTCATGAATCCACCATCAGGAGAACACTGAACAACCACGGTGTGCATGGTGCATCCAAAAAGAACATTGCTTCCAGTCTGCTAAAGATCATGCGGACAAGCCAGAGGAATACTGGAGAAATGTTTTGTGGACAGATGAGACCAAAATAGAACATTTTAGTTTAAATGAGAAGCGTTATGTTTTAAGAAAAGAACACACTGCATTCCAGTATAAGAACCTTATCCCATCTGTGAAACATGGTGGTGCTGGTATCATGGTCTGGGCCTGTTTTGCTGCATCTGGACCAGGACAGCTTGCCATCATTAATGGAACAATTAATTATAATTATGTCAGGACATCTGTCAGTAAGCTAACTCTCAAGTGGGTCATGCAGCAAGACAACGACCCCAAGCACACGAGTTGTTCTACCAAAGAATGGTTAAAGAAGAACAAAGCGAATGTTTCGTAATGGTCAAGTCAAAGTCCGGACCTTAATCCAATTGACATTTTGTGGAAGGAGCTGAAGCAAGTAGTTCATAGGAGGAAACCCACCAACATTACAGAGTTGAAGTGGTTCTGTACTGAGGAATGATCTAAAACTCCTTCAAGCCGTTGTGCAGGACTGATCAGCAGTTACAAGAAACATTACTTGTATAATACACCAGATACTGAAAGCAAAGATTCACATACTTTTGCCACTCACAGATATGTAACACTGCCGTTTAATTATTGAGAAAAGTGATCCAAAGAAAATATTTTTGTCTCATTTGTCTACTTTCAGGACGTTTGATTGTTTTGAGTCATATTTATGCAGAAATATAGAAAATTCAAAAGGGTTCACAAACTTACAAGCAGCACTGTATATGCTCCCCCCCCCTTAAATCCCAATTTAACACCTAGATATATTTCAAGAATTTATTAATAAT